TAAGAAGAAAAGTAGAAAACAAAGGTTGGCATGTAAGGTGTTGATAAAGCAGGTTTGCAGCCACTTTGTGTGTTTTAGATTTTTCAGTCCCTTGGCAACACGAATGTTGGCCTTAATAATTTTTTCTCTCAATATCTTTCTTCTTTGATCTGAAAATATGTCCTCGTATATGATGACTTTTATCAGACAAGATGTTTTGATTTGACATCATTGTTACCAGTAAGAAAAATGAAATACTTTAAGGTTGAACAGTGTTTTAGACCAGAAATTGTTTCTAAACATTCTATGTTGTTTATTATGATTATTTTCTGAGCATTCAATAGTTTACTCCTTCTCCGTTCCACTATTGGTTTACTTATTAGCACACTTGCAAAATTTCATGGCTTTTGTTTTAATGACTTTCTTAGGAAATTCAACTGATTTTTCACGGATATTGAAAAGTTATAAAATATATTGAAGCTTAGTTAAATGTACCTTCTGTCATATTTTAAATCAGTGAAATATTTGTTTCTTCTGAAGACTTTAAAGAATGTTCCTAATTTCAAAGCTTTCTATAAAAAGTTTAGTTCCATAAAAAGTATCATCTCCTTTTTAGAGTATTTTAAGCACTAAAGTGATAGGATAATTAAAATAATTTCTAGTTCACAAATCTAGAACTAATAGTTCTTAATTTTAAAATATAGTTTAAGCAGGGAATATATAAAATATATATGGGTTTCTATATATGGTACCATTTAAAAATCTATTTTCATCTTTCTAATGAGATTGTTAGTACTTACAAATTCTGAATTATCCATGTAGATATTGTCTGTCATACTTTTTATCTCAGCTACTTTGAATATTCATAGTAAACTTTAATGAATCCATCAATTATTTAAAAAGAAGCCATATATCCAAGTTCACCATTATTACTGGCATTTAGTCTAGTAATTGGCTACTGCTAATAATAGAATTATTAGAACACTACAGATGTAATGTTTCCTTTCACTTATAAATTTTTGAATTAATCTATTCTTTTGAGATTATAAATTTACATTACTAAATTGTAGAAATGGTCTGTTGGTTTTCCCTTTGGTTTGCCGTGCTCTCTGTGGTCACATAAGATACTGTGGAAAAGTAAAATTCTTCTGGGCTCAAAGATAACTTTTTTCATAAAAGAAAAAATAAAAAAAATACATTCACTTAAGAGAATAAGTTTAAGAAAATTTTCCCTCTTTATGAAGGATTGGTCAGGGATTTAAATAACAAATAAAATTGTAAAGTTATAAAATAGAAATACATTATGACTGTTCCATGAAGTGAGAAAATAAAAAGTTGCTAAAACATTTTTATGTTGGAGTTTTTGTGTTTTTAATATCCAGCAATTAAACATAGTCTCTACATTTCTAATAGACAGAAATGGAGACTTAAAAACCAAAAATCTGGGGAGGGTTAGTTAGCATGTTTTGTTTGTAAGAACTTATAAATAAAAAAGAATGTATATGAGGCAGAATTGCGTTAGCATTTAGTGCTATAGAATGTCAATTAAGTTGTTTCTTGATGTTGAATGATATAGTGACTGAAATGTCTTTGTAGATATTTTAAGTACATTTACAGTATTTCCAGGATTGTTCTTTAGTGCTTTTCTGGGAATCCTTAGAAATGACAAATTAGTGTCTCAGAACATAAAACGTACTTGGTATAATTATTATGTATTTATTTTTTAATAGATAATAGTAAGCATTTTTTAGAACTCATGGGTTAATACACAGTAGGTCATTTAGCTTACCTGTAATTTCAAGAAAGTAAGTTACTAGCACGCTCTTTGTAGAAATAACAAATTGTTACCACTAAACTCTCAAGTTACTTCTAAACCTTTCCCTATTATCAGAGAATGCTATTATAGTCATATATAGTCTAAATACTTTTAGCAGTAAACTCTTTTTTAAGAAACCTGATGCATCCGTTATGAACACATTGGTATATTTATTTGCCAATTTAACTTTAATATAACTTGACACACATAGCAAATATTGGCTTCCCATAAATGAATTTAATAACAAAAAACAATGCAAGGCACTACGTTAGGTGTTGGGAGGGTATAAGATGAGAAAGATAACTGTCCATGCTCTCAAGGGGCTCATAGTTCTTATTCTCCACTTCACCATCTCACCTGGCAAATAGTGTACTTAGGTGATGTCTTGCTAACCAGAATGTAACATCTTTATATGCAAGATATTATGCATCGTTATCATCATCATCAGATCAACAGTGATACTGTGGTAAAGAGTTTTACAGTTTTAAAAAACTGTCTCATTTGTTAGTCTTAAAATGAGTAGAATCTTTATAATTTAGGATCAAAATGAGGTAGGCTTTAAAAAGTAATACTATTTTTTAATTAAAAGATGATTACTGCTGTCATCTGACAGAATTTATGTTTTCAGTGTCATAGTTTTGTACTAATGAACTTTTTAATTTAATATCTATATCCAGGAAACTGCAGGTAAAATATAAAAATTGTGTGTTAGGTGTCCAAGGAAAATGTGTAGAATATTTTAATTTATGTAGAGTATGAGATCACAGTTTGGCATACCTGTTCCAGAACAGACATTTATATACGGTTATATCAATTGTGTTTTATAACCATAATTGTTTTGATAAGATTTACACGATAAATTCATACATACCTCAAAGAGCAATGTCTTGCATATTAAATTTATAAACACCACTTAACTTGCTTTTGAATTCATCATTACTTTTCAACTCTATTTTCTGTCTGTCAGGGACAGGGATCCCTGAGATGTTCATATTCTGCATTCTTGTGCATGGTACTTAGATTCAAAAAAGATGGATGGGGGAAAGCTGTTTATAGAAATATGAATTTACAGCATTAATGCTGCATGCTTTGTGTGTTCCACTGCAAACATTGCATGCTGCATACTTGTATTTCTCTGAAAATGAAGAGCATAGGCTCATACACACATAAAAATTAGTTTCTTTTTTTTGCCAATAGTTGGAACAAATGGAGGAATGTTAGCCATAATACCTTATCTATTTTTATAAAATGAATTCTCTTGTATATTTCAGAAAACAAGAAAAAACTTGTTATTTAAACCCAAAGTGGCTACAAATCAGCTCCTAAACTGTCACTGACATTAGCATCTAGATTTTGTAGTTTTTACAAATCTTTTAAAATATTTATTTATTAAGAAAACATTGCATTAATGCATGATACAAAATCGATAAATTTTTCTTTAAATTGGAATGCAGTTTAAAATGACTGAATTTTCCAATTTCGGCTACTGAATTTGACAAGGATACAAACTGGAAAATGGAACTGGTATCATCCAATTGCTTTAGGTTTTTTGACTCAATGGTAGTTGGGGAAAATCTTTCCATGCAGCACTGTGTAGAGTACATTATCGATGTTAATATTAATTACAATGCTCTTTAGCCTTGACAGTAATGAAAAATTATGAGTGAATTTAGTTCTTTCAAATAATTTAAGTGTTTTCGGTACATGTTTTCAATTTAAAAATAGATCTTTGGCACTTGGCTTTTGATTATCTAAACATTGGTATTTTTACATTTCACTCTTTATATTATAATTGATATGAATGTTGCAACTTCAATGACTGTATATCACAGTTTTAAGTTTCATCATACCACTTTAAAACAGTGGCATACTTGGCTATAGAACATATCTTAGTTATCTCTCACTTATTTTTATTTTTTATATGTATAATTATAAACCTTTCCATATCTTTTAGAAGATAAAATGGTATTTATAAAATTTTAGGACTGACAACTTCCAACCTGAACATTAATAGTATGCCTCTGAGGTTATGCTATTAAGGATTTAAAGTAGTAGTATTTTTCAATGAGCCATTCTGCCAGTTGCCACACATTTTGAAAAGATCTATTTAAATCTTTTTTTGCCAAGCATACTAGATCAATAGTTTTATAAAATACCTTTTTATAGGAACTAATTCTGTTGCTCTCCAGTTTTTTCCTGCCTAATTCTTTGTTGTTAGATTCCAGCTAATAAAATTTACCAGTACTCATATTAGGAAATTCCTTTAATAGTTTAAATCAAGCAGTCCCTTCAAAGAGAGAGGAAATGGACAGTGGTAACCAATTGCTGAGTGTATAATCAAGTACCATAAAAGAGAAATCCATCCAATAATCTGTCCTTACTCTGCTTTTCATTCTGCCATTTAGGATGGATTTATTTATTTTAGAGATCATGGTTTTGATCTGCCACTTCCAACTTCTAGAGACCCTCAATGGTTAACTTGCTTCTTTTATAGCCCAGCATGTTCCATATCAAACTTTTTTCACTTTTATTCTTCTAGATTTTGTAACAGTCATAGTGACGGTACCAGTTCCATTTTGCCTCCAATTCAGTTGATTACATATTTTTTTCTATTTATTTCTCATTTTATAATTGATATCTGGAATAATCAGCAGCTCTTTTCTCATTTATTTTCTCATATTTTTATTCCAGGATTTGCCTCTGAAGCAGGGAGTGTCTGCATTAAAAATGACCTGTAGTTCTCTGCTTCATAGGTTAGAAACTTATTTTAATATTTTGTGGCTAAGCACAGTCCCACTTTTCAAATTCTGTAATGAATTATTTAATTGGCATTGAATGTGGACCACAAGCATATGTTTTATATTGGGGTTTTCTTTATTATTTTAAATGATTAAAATTCAACAATATCCAGCTGAGGCAATAAAAGCTTTATTCTTGCTTTACAGCTTAAAGCATTAAATTAGATTAAAAAAAAAATCTATCGATTATAACACAAATAAAATAATGCTATTTTGGGCATTTTTAAAAAAATGCATTTCTTAGGCCTTGTATTGCTTGAAGCATTTATATTCTAAAACTTAACCAAATTCCAACTATTCATTTTGGGGAAAAACAATCAGTTCACAAATCATATTTTCAATGGGACTGCTAGCCAGCATAGGTGAAAACATGTATAGTGTATTTACTCTTAAATTGTACACTACAGATGCTTCTTCAGCTCCCTCCTCTTCCTCCATGGGCGGTGCTTGCAGCTCCTTTACCACCTCTTCCAGCCCTACCATTTATTCTACCTCAGTCACCGACAGCAAGGCTATGCAAGTGGAGAGCTGCTCCTCAGCCTTGGGGGTAAGTAACAGAGGGGTAAGTGAAAAGCAGTTAACCAGTAACACAGTTCAGCAGCATCCATCAACACCGAAGAGGCACACAGTCTTGTACATCTCACCACCACCTGAGGACTTGCTGGATAACAGTCGGATGTCCTGCCAGGATGAGGGGTGTGGATTGGAATCTGAGCAGAGCTGCAGTATGTGGATGGAGGATTCCCCCTCCAACTTCAGTAACATGAGCACCAGTTCCTACAATGATAACACTGAGGTACCTCGTAAATCACGAAAACGAAATCCAAAGCAGAGGCCTGGGGTCAAACGACGAGATTGTGAAGAATCTAATATGGATATATTTGATGCCGACAGTGCCAAAGCACCTCACTATGTGCTTTCTCAGCTTACCACGGACAGCAAAGGCAACTCAAAAGCAGGAAATGGGTTGGTATTTATATTTTTTTTAAGTTCTATCACCATTATGCAAAACAGACAAACAAAAATTATTCCCCACTTTTCCTAATTGCTCAGTTCAAGTTTGCATATAAAGCAGATACTAATTTTATCACTGAAATACATGACAATTTTAACTTAGTTACCAAGTTTCACTAGAGAAAAAATATCAATAAATTTTTAGCTATAGGTATCTTATTAGGTATATGATTAAGTAGTAGAAAATGAAAATAATCTGTTTTGAAACAACTTAAATTTCAAATGGATTTATATTTTAAAGGATTTAAGAATATTTTTACTCATAATATTTGACTCTAGCATAGAAATAACTAATATGTAATAGCTCCAGCTAAAACAACTCAGAACATTCACAAAGGGTTGTGTTCTCTTTCACATTGTCTCCCCATTAGATTCAATCCATTTCCATTTTTGTGAGGATTTTAAACTTTGTTTTTCTTTAATTTGGTGAAAATAAGAAAAAACTAAGTCAATGGTTTGAGTCTCATCATTTAGATTCACATTAAGCTTTCTTTGATACATTGTGCTGACTTGGGATTTTTTTTCTTTTTTAAAATATATCACTATTTTTTTACTGTGTTTCTGGGTTATGTAGTTGAAGAGTGATAGAACAGGATCATGGGTACATGTTTGAGTTTTCCTTCATTTCTGCCAGTTCACAACACTCATTAAATATATTTTTATAGCTATATTACAGAATATTTACTGCTATATAGTACAGAATACTGTGACTTATTTTTAACTGTTTGATTTCTTTAGTACTTTTATTGTACTATTTAATTGCTAGACTTTTAAATTAGATTTTCCTATAGTGTATTAAACATAGTTTGATAAAATTTAACTCACTGGATTTTGAGAGATTACTTTTTTGGGAGACAGGGTTTGGTCCTCTAGTTGACCCAGGATCTACAATTTCAGGTTGTCACAAAAAGTGATGGAGAAGCTTTCAATTGGTTTACTACTTGATGACATCGTTGACATCTTTTAAGTTAAAAATCTAATTGAGTAATATAGAGAATATTTTTAATGTATATTAAACTTGTCCTTAAATATTCTCTCAGTACATTTTTAAAGTAATATCTATCATTTAAGTAATAATTATTCTACACTACTTGCTTCTCTACTCTTATTTAAAACTCCTTTGGGGTGATACAGTTAAATGAAAATGCACATTTAAATGTTTTTCATTTTTAGAAAGTCCAGATTAGGAAATTATCTAAAAGAAAACTAAGCATACCCTTTCCTAAAATGTTGCCATTAGCAAAGTCAAGAATTCTATAACATATTTGTAGAACTATTACCTATGTAATAATGCTCTGAAACACAGTAGCACAGAACTTAAAAGGCTCATGTATATCTCTTATTAAATATGAGTATGTGGGTTTCAATGGAGAAGGTTATTTTTTTAAGTTTGAGTAGAGAGATTTTTATTTTTGTATGGAAAAATGTTTAAGTTTCAAATGAAGAACAAATAAAATTTTGATGTAGAGTTAGTCAACACACATAATTTGTAGTTGCTATTAAAAAGATTTCTTGACCTACATCTTTTCTGCTTCTGCTTTTGTATGATAGATATATCTTAGAAATGATTTGAGGTTACCCAGGGAAAGTATAATAACATTTGTCAAGACAAAATCTCTCATGAAATAATTCATGGAACAGAAACTCATCAAGCAGCAGAAGAAATGTCCAGCTTCTTAGGTAATGGAAAAATATTTGACTCTAGCATATGGAAATGATGGAAGAAGTTTAAATTTTGAATTATTAAGAACTATATCAAGAAAAGGATAAAACCGTTTGTAAATATATAGAAAAGTAGGCCTTCGAAGACAATTATTAAGAGGATCTCAAACTAAAGTCTTAAATTCTTCAACAAGAAAAATGTTAGAAACATGAAAGATATTTAGAGATGTTTTTAGCGATTAAGCTTTAGATCTAATATGCCATAAACTTAAAATTTATATATTCTAAATGATAGGAAATGTACTCAGATATATTATGTACAGAAGTTTAGTGATCTTCAAGATGGAAGCAGCATTTTTGTATAATTAAAATGTTATATAAAAGTTAGAGTTTAAGAAAACAAAACCATTTTTTTTAAAAAAACTAATCAGTATTTAAACATTCCTAATCATATCATTCTTAAATTCTTCAGCTAAATGTCCTGAGAATCATTAGCCCCATGTCTCTTCTAGATAGTCCTAAAAATTAAGGTATAATGTTATCTGGATGTGAAACATGATTTAGGCATTTTTTGGTAAAAATTATTTTTGTGACGTAGACAACAGAAGGCTTCGAAGCACAAATGAATTAGAATGTCATTTTAAAAGCTGAATAGAATATGCCAAGACAGTGGATTTTCTTTTTAGATGTCATTTAGAAGTAAAATCCCAAGCAATTAAACTATTACTTTCTTGGGTTTTTTTTCCTTAAGCCATCATGCCTTCGAAATTAGTAATTTGAATGACTACTTTTCTAAGAATTAGGTGATGTTTTCAATTGGTTTAAAGGTCTGGAGATCTAAATGTATATGTATCCATTTTTACATTTAAACCTAGAGAATAAAGGTAGTTTTAAGGGCTTTAAGAAATATCATTTCAGAAATTTTTTAATTATCTGTGCTATTCTTCTTTATGCCATAATGTATATGCTTTATCAGTTCAATAGTTTTCATCCCAAATAAGCTATTTTGTTTTACTAAATAGTAAAACTCGTTATCAACTATTTATTCTCATAAATATTAGCTAGGCTAGCGTAAGTGATTATAAAAACCATATCTTGCCAAATTGATATGCTAAATTTTCCTTATATGTCAAACCGAAGTATTTTTTGTTTTAAAATTAATAGATGTTAATTACAAAAAATTGAAAAATGTAGGGACAAAAATAGAAGAAAATAAATAACCCCTAATCTAGTCACCCAATATAACTGCTATTAGCATTTTGCTGTATTTTCTTTTAGTCCTTTTTGATGCATATTTGGGATATATTTTTACATAGTTTCAGTAATATTTTTGCTTTGATTTTAAAATGAGTAAAAAAACAATATCATAGAATTTCATGTGTAAGGGAATGCACATTGAATTTCTACCCAGAATAATGAAAAGAAAAATAGGACTTATTGCCCATTGCCCATTGTTCCAGCTTCAACTCGATACTTTTGTTGATAGAATTTATTCTTCCAGGCCTTTTAAATGACTTACACAGGTAATCTTTGATTTAATTATGTCAAACTTACATGAATGGCATTCCTTGACCAGTTAGGATCCAGTCTTTTTTGTTTCTATTTTAGAAGCTTCTTTTTCCCTCTGCTTTCCTTTCTTTGTTCCTCTCTTCTTTCTGTTTGCCTTCATCAACAAATATTCTTTCCACACCTGATCTTTCAGGAATTGTGCAAGGTTCAGGGAATATGAAGATGTTTGAGCACTAGCCTTCAGAACTCTCTCTCTTATCCTGTCAGTCTTACTGCATTTCTTTACATCCCTTCCTTCCTCCATTCTTCTGTCCCCTTCTTAGCCATGGATTTCACTCCAGTCCCTGGTTCCATTGAAAGTACAGTCTTTCCCCTGTTTGTTACTGATAATTGAAACAACAGCTTAGAGCTGGAAGGGTAAACATGAGAGCCAGTTTTAAGGCTGCTTAGTCCCCATTGCTCCTCTCTGTTTGCAATCATAATATTTCTCCTGGAACCTGTTCGCTTTTGGAGGAAAGTTTGTCTACAGTCATCTCTTGGCTTCTGTATCTTCAATGTGTTTAAACTTAGGACTGAAAGAGTCATAGAGAAGATATTCTTGGTCTTGACGCTTTTAAAATGTATGTGGATAATTTCAATCTATTTTAAAACTAACAATATTATTTTCTATTTATTTTTATCACATATTTGCAGTGCTTCAGATTAAATGTGTTGATCTGAAGTCTTAACCACCATTTGAAATATTTTTCTTTGGATATATAGTCCACATAGAAAATGCATGATAAACAAAATAAACATTAGAAACATGATTTTAAAAAATAAGTTAGATTCTCTATCTGTAAAGCTCAGATTATAAAATTTAGATATGCTAAGGGCTTTGATTATTTAATGAATCACAAATATAAATGCTCTGAATAATTACACTTCTGAAATTGTTTTGAGTAAAGCTAATTCCCAATAAAAGTTGAATCACTGATTTTTATCATAATTTTCTCAGTTTGATGTCCTGAGAAAGATATCTAGGAAAATATTCTGCATGTACCTTCAGTTGTTTTTTAAAAGCCTGTTTTTTGTTTTTTTCTTTTTGCTACCACTACTTAACTTTTGCTTTGCAAGTCTGTTTGGGAAATAATAGTAGTTAATCTTCTAGCTTTATATAACACTCGTATGTGTGTGTTTGTGTGTATAATTTTAAAAATTTATTTTGACTGAAGTACAATATGAAAGGTTGTCGTGACGTTAGCCGTTTTCTTTCCTTTTATTCCCGATTTGTTGCATTCAGTCTTTCTTCCTACCACACACATGCATTCTGTGTATCTTCTCTTAGACTGTATTTTATTTCGTCAGTAAGATAATCAATTGTTTTTAATGTTATTACCTAGTCTATTTCCTCCTTTATCTTGGATGACTTTCATAGAAAACACTTTTTGATGCTTTTTCCATGTTGTGCTTTGACTTCTCAGAACATTGGAAAACCAAAAAGGATCTGGAGTAAAGAAGAGCCCTATGTTGTGTGGACAGTATCCTGTTAAAAGTGAGGGAAAGGAGCTCAAGATAGTTGTACAACCTGAGACCCAGCATCGAGCTCGGTACCTGACTGAGGGTAGCCGTGGCTCAGTAAAGGACAGAACACAGCAAGGCTTTCCTACAGTAAAGGTACTTATTTTATTTCACAATATATGAAGAATTTTCTCCAGTTTTGCATATTAGTTATTTTTTTTAACCAGCAAAAGCTGCCTAAAATAGGATAGAATTGCTAGCTATATAAAATAGAAATTAAAAGTAAAAATCTTACTGAGCCGTAAGCCAAATATTATTACTTTAAATTTTAATTTGAATTTTAGTTTATATTTTTCATCAGTAGCAACCATATTAGATTCTTCTTAAACTTTATATTTAAGAAGAAATTTAAAGTGAGTTCAAAGAAATATTGTAGAAATTATTATGAAGTTGGAAAACAAAGTTTCTTAGATGGCTAATGTAATCAGGACTATTCAACTCAGAAAAGAATTGGTTGATAGGTAACTTAAGTCTTTAGTTTAAGAAATAGGATATTACCTGAGTCTTAATTAACTAAGTTCTTTTCAGAACTTAGATTAAAAGAAAAAAGGGGGGCTTAAATTTCAGCACCTGGGTTACCTGTTACAAACGATATTTTTCTTTGAAGACAAACCAGAAAAAGTGGAGTGGAGGATGTTTAACAAGTGTTCTAACCCCTTGCAAAATACTAAACAGGGAGGAATTTTGGCTAATCACATGGTACATTTTTGTTAAATACAGTTTGTGTAAATGTGTTAGTTGAATAATATTTAGTGGACTGCCTTTTGTTTCATACTTGAATGAAATAATGGTAAAAACTTGGAATCAGGAAACTTACTCATGACCATTTATAAGATTGGTTAATACTCATATGTACCATATCATTTCTACCTCTCTACTACTCACCACACCACCATCCTCAGCCCCCTAAACTCAAAACAAGTAACAAGCAAGTGAGAAATTTAAGTTATACTTTTGATAGTTTGGTCAGTATTTTTAACCTAATGCTCTGACTTTCAGTTTTGCTTTATCTAAGTATTTGTCTGATTAGAAGTGTCGTTAGGTAATTGCCTAACTGTGATAGGGAGTGAGTTGACTGACCTTAAAACTTAAAAGTTTATTAATTCATTCAACAAATATTGCATCTCCCTATGTGTCTGACACTATTCTAGGTACTACTAACAATTTAGGTAAATTGCTTATTTGCCTCATTACGATATCATTTCACAGAGATACAGCTGTACTGGGATAGAAAAGATGTATGAGTTTAACCATTTCGGTGTACATTGAACAAGTTGTTTTGTGATTTCCTGCATTCTGTATTAACAACTTCAATGTTTAAACATAAACCTTAACAAGAATCAGTGTTGGAAAGAAACATTTGTTCCCAAGTGCTGTTTTAAATATTTATTTATTCTTCAGCATACAAATTATAATTTAATTTATGAAGGCTTGCTAGAGACCTGTAATGGCTCATATAGACCTTAGTTTGATCTAGCAGTTTTTCAGACCGTAATGTTTTGGCCCAGGATTTTATGAAGTTGTATGTATGTATTTAGTCTATGAAAAAGAGCTCCATTTCCTTATTACATATATAGCTGTACTTCGAACACTTTTCTACTTGCATAACTTTAAAAGAGCAAAAATTTAGTATATGTACTCTAATTTAATGATGATGATAATGATGCCACTAATACAGTTTAGTGAATTTTTCTTTAGTGGTTGTGGTATATCCTGAGTAACCCACATGCTTTTTTGGCAGTACATAATTTATAAATACCTAAAGGACTGTGTAGTCATTCTTGTTTGCTTGTGCAAATTAATTATGAATGATAGTTTATCATTAAATATCTAAAATTGTAATTAAAATGTGATTATTGCAGAATTTAAACTTATGGTTCTCTGCAGAAACTTAGCCAACTCTCTTTTATGAAAATATTTTACATCTGTTTTTCTTGAGAATTTAAATTATTTCTTTATTGTAATACAATTATAAATAAAAGACTTGGTATTGAATGTTTGATTTTACAATTAGATTATTTGAAAAGCTAATTAGTGTTTATGTTTCATGTTATGTCACTCCAGCTGGAAGGCCATAATGAGCCAGTAGTGTTGCAAGTGTTTGTGGGTAATGACTCTGGTCGAGTGAAACCACATGGATTTTATCAGGCCTGTAGGGTAACTGGACGAAATACAACTCCCTGCAAAGAAGTGGACATTGAAGGCACTACTGTTATAGAAGTTGGCCTTGATCCGAGCAACAACATGACACTAGCGTAAGTACTTAGTGAAAAATTTTCATTATATAATACACTTTCGTGTAAACAGGAAAAAATTTTAGTTTTAATGTATAAAAGAAAATTTTGAGTATTTTATTGTTTTAAACATTACAAATTAAAAAATAAATTATTATAGAATCGTAATGGGTTAAAATTAACTCTTTTGCCTTTTGCTAGAGAGAATTCCCATGGTCCAAGACAGGGAAATAAAAGCCAGGCAGAATACTGGCTTTTCAGAAAATAGACTAATTTGTTGAGATTAATAATATTAAATTAAAAATTAAAATTACAATTTCATTTGCTTTTTTAAATTCTGTTTTCTTAAGTGTTGGCATTAGAAACTGTTTAACAGAGACCATTCATGGTGCCTTGACCCATCTTGATGTGAAAAAGCATATTGCTAGTCTAACTTCACCTGTTTTTATTTTCCTGTATTACAAAAAATTATGTCCTGAGACTGTGTATCTTTCATCTGAAGCATTTCCATTGCCTAAAAATTAGAAGTGTTAGTGATTTAAATTAAAAACTTTTTTTTTCCTTAATCCTTTTGTTAAGAACCTTTAATCCTAAGGTTGAACCATAACAGCAGAAAACATGTTGGTATGGAGTAGACTTATGTTGTAATTATTTGTATTGGATAACTAAAGACTTTTCTCTGTTTGGTTTTCAGTTTCCTTTTGAAAGTCATTTTGAACAACTTAGTAAGAGATTGATTGGAAAAGAAAATTTCGAAAAATATTCAGTAAAGATTTATTTTTTTGTCTACGGTCAGGGTTTAGGCTGACCAAATATCACAGGCTTACCACCATCCCGAAGGAGGATGGCCCTTTAGACATTTTAATCTTTAATATCAGCAATAGAACCTGGGGCACAGAGGGAAGGAGAATAGTTATCAAAAATTAATAATCTGTTTCTGCTCATAAAAAAAGATTGATTTTTTTTAGTTTCTGAAAATTATAAAAATGAATGTAAATAGTGGAAGAAAGGAAGGGAATAATTGATTATAAGAATAGTACTTATTCATTTTTATTCGAAAACACAGACTAATTAAAAAATAATAAATAAATAAAACATATCCCAAAAGCCAACTTCCCAGAAGTAAGCACTATTTTGATATTTGTCTTTTCATCTTTTTTTCTGATAAAATTGAGATAATACCGTACCTACTATTTTTTAACCTCCTTTTCACTTATGATCATTTTCCCATAACATTAAATATTATAGCATATGGTTTAATGGCTACATAGTGTTCCATTCTTTTGGGGACAGTTACTAATATTTTTAAAAATAAAACCCATTTCTTCTATTTTAATATGTAAATTAACTTCCAAAAAAAGGCAAAATTTATTTATTTATTTTTTAAAACAACAAAAGTATCTCTTGTAAATCATTACTTATGTTCAGATTTTGCAAGTGTTTTTACCTTTTTCCTGTTTTTTCCATTATAAATGAAAAGTTGCCAAGATTAGAATTTATGAATATTCAGAATTTGCCCTTCTATGCCTTTTGAATTTGGAACCTTATGATTATATTACATATTCAAAAATTAATAAGGAAGCAAAAAAAGTTTTAAAGAAGCTTGTTTAAGAATATTGTATTCTACATACAACAGAAAATATCAGTTAATGTATTTTTTCTGTTTTAGGGTGGACTGTGTAGGGATATTGAAACTGAGGAATGCTGATGTTGAAGCCAGAATAGGAATTGCTGGTTCCAAGAAAAAAAGCACTCGTGCCAGATTGGTTTTTCGAGTAAATATCACAAGGAAAGATGGCTCCACTTTGACATTGCAAACACCCTCTTCTCCAATTTTATGCAGTAAGTAAGAAAACACAGAGATATTAAATATATGGAAGTTTTTTCATTTTCTGTTAAGCTTTCAGACATCTCTAAATTTCATATGTTTCATATACTCCAGCTTGTGATTATGCAAAATATGAAACATTTAAAAGCTATAGTCAGATTTTCTAGACTAAAGGTAGGCAATTTTAAATAAAATTCAAAAGATATGTAGCATTTTTTAGTTTTCTATTATCATCCTATACTGATTTTAGAAATAATTTGAATAGTTTACCGGAAGTGAATTGCAAAGTCAAAGGATTTTCCCAGCATCTTTACTGTGTGATAAATTATTGTGATCCTAACTCTGTTTTGTGTTGAGAATAAGAAACAGTAAGGTAAAAGGTATACGCATCCTCTGTGTTCATTGCAGCATTATTTACGATGGCCAAGATGTGGAAGCAACCTGGGTGTTCCATCAATAGATGAATAAAGAGGATGTATGTGTGTATATATATGTGTACATACACAATGGGATATTACTCAGCAATAAACAGGAATAAATTCTTGTCATTTGTGAAAAAATGGATGGACCTAGAGCAGTGTTCCCCAACCTTTTAGGCACTAGGGACCAGTGCTTCTATGATAGTCTAATGCATGATGATCTGAGATGGAGCTGAGGCAGTGATGCTAGTGCTGGGGAGTGGCTGCAAATACAGATGAAGCTTCACTCCCTAGCCCACCACTCACCTCCTGCTGTGCTGCCTGGTTCCTAACAGGCCACAGACCAGTACTGGTCTGAGGCCCAAGGGTTAGGGGCTTCTGACCTAAAGGGTATTATACTAAGTAAAGTAAGTCGGACAGAAAACAATAAATACTGTATGATTTTACTTATATGAAGAACCTAAAACGAAACAATACAGAAACAGAATCATAGATACAGAGAACAAACTGACGGTTGCCAGAGAGGAGAGGGTGAAGGAATAAGAGTCACAAACTTCTAGTTATAAAATAAGTCACAGGAATGTAAAGTACAGCATATACTTTACAGGAATATAGTAAATAATATCATAATAACTTTGTATAGTGACAGATGGTTACTAGACATATTGTGATCACATCATAAATTATAGAAATGTGAAATCAATGTTATACACCTAAAACTAATATGATATCGTATGTCAACTATACTTTAAAAAAAAAGAAACCAGAAGATAAGCAGAATTTTGTAAGTATACAGCAATTGGAGTTCTGATTACAAATTACAGTATTATAGTGTTACAAAATGAGAAATAAATTTTTATTTTGCTAACCTTGGCTTAGAAAGTAAATGACATGTCTGTGTTTAAATTCAACCATGTTGTTGAATGTACCTCACCGTATATTCTGGTTTCCCTCTAATGAGTATTATTACAAGTGATAAATAGGAAAATTTTTCCTTTATACATCGCTTAAGATTTTCATCACGTGTGATTTTCTTTGGCATTGCTTCTTTGTAATTTATAACTAAAGTCAAAAGAGCAGAAGAGACCCATTCTGCTGAATTTCTTGTTGGGCTATTATAGGTATTATGACCTTGCTACCTGTAGGATAGTTACAGAGCCTTTGTTATTTAATTGTACCTTAGTTTTGTCAGATTATTTATCTTTTATAAATCTTATTTTTCTCTTTTTTTAAATTCATCTCAGAAATTATAGTCATGCTAGATAATTCAAGTCATACTGCATTAGCAGGGACTGGGAAATGGTTGCCAGCTTTTCTCCTGCTTACATTAGTTTGTTCATTTATTTCTTCATTTTCTATTTTGTTAAGGTATCATTAAAGTATAAATATATCCAGCTAAAAATGGTACAAAATGCAAAAGAAATAGAAAACATGATTTTCTGAAATTTCTCATGTGTAATTATTATCATTTGTTAATTCATCACCATTAATGATAATATATATCCACATTGCAAAAAAAGTATTTGTCCTTGGGAGGCAGTCTTTGAGGTGGATTTGATAGCCCTAAGAAGCAGTAACATCCAATGGGCAGCACATAGAGCTAATACTAATAAAGTTACCATGTTTGGAACTCTTGTCTATATGCCAGGGATTTTGTTAACCACTTTATAAGCAGTATATTACTTAACCCTTACCATCACATTATATGTAGATTCCATTCTACAGTTGATGAAATTGAGACTTAAAAGAGATTAAATAATCTCCTCAAGGACACATAGCTAGTAAATAGTAAAACCAGGATTTAAAGCCTCTGCTTTTAACCACTGTACTGCATTGCCACTGCAATCACTTAACCTGCAGTGCTGAAAAACCAAGTTTGAACAATTCATTTCATTATAGCCATAGCCTCTGGGTGGTTAGGACCATGGATACAGTATTAAATTATGTTAGAGAACTGTTTCTACTACCTAGGAGATTTATGTTATGTAATTTAGATTTTTTATGAATTTAGAAAGTAAATCTCAGTTTACATTAGATTTTACTCGAATACCTATATTATCCCTTCCATTTCCTTTTGTAGATGTCATTTATTATGGAGGTGTATAATATATATTTTTCTTCCTTTCATTGAATATTTGGTACTTGACATCTTTTTAGAGAAACTGGATTAGATAAACATTGGGTAGTACTTTGTTTTAAAGAAAGGGGTACCTTTGCAGTATACTTCCCATACTTCTTTTAGAAGAGAAAGTACTAGAGTAATAATTAATTTGCAAATAAGTTTACATGATAAAATAGCTTTCATATTTCTTACTGGAATTTCATGCAAACTGATTTTCTTAAAACATTATATATATAGCTTAAAATATTTTTAATAGTAATTTCTATGAATATCAATTAGGTCTAATCATTTAGGCAAGAGTCTAAGCCTCTTATCTGCACACTTCTCCTAATGGGTTAATGATTTGATTTTTTAAAAAAATCTATCATTCTGTCTGCGGCCATGCTACCCTTAACAAGCCCGATCCCGTCTGATCTTGGAAGCTAAGCAAGATTGGGCCTGGCTAATACTTGGATGGGAGACCACCTAGGAAGACCAGGTGCTATAGGCATAAAATATAAAATAATAAGGGATTGTAAGCTGACAAGGTCCTTGTAATCTGTAAGGTCAACCAAGGGTTGCCTCGCCTAAAATAAACAAACAAATAAATAAAATATCATTCTATGTTCAAAATGTAATTTTATTTGATTTTCATAGGTTTTCGTTAAATATACTATCCAGAGGTATGTAGGTTTGTCAGATAATCTTACTTTATTATTAACTAGCAAAAAATGACATATTAAAAATTTTTTATGTTTTTAATTATTTTTGCTTAAATATTAGGCTAGAAGAGGGTATTCACTTTAATATATTGTACTCTGTAGTTTATAAAGTTTTTTCATGTATGTTGAAGTCTTAAGAAGTTAATAAATGTTCCCCCTTATAATTAGATTGAGACACATAAGAGTTAGAAAAATTGAGATGAAAATAACAACTTTCCTACTGATAAAACTGTTAGAAAAAAGCCTGGCTTCTTCATACATCTATCCACCCAGTCAAAGCAGCCCACCACAGTTGCAGGCTTCTTACCAACTGGCAGCAAATAGTCTAAACTGTATGCTTCGTGCATGTAGGCAGATAGAAAAGAGGGAGGAAAAAAAGACTGAGCTAACCATGCCCAAGCCCTGCTCCTAACTCCTCAGTAGTTATGTCATTCCTCCTCTCTAGTGAGCATTGCTCTAATGGAGTTTCCCACTAATAATTATACTACATTATCCTATTTGATCCTGATAATAACTCTGTGATGTTAATAGAATAGAAATGATTAGTTTCACTTTTTATAAAACAGGAGAGGGAAGAAATTTTGTTTGTTCAAGGTAAGACTGGCAGATGAGATACCTGATGTTATTTGTCTGTTGTTTTGAGCTGATACCTACCACAGAATATAGGAGGGATTTTATTTTGATCAACTGTAATGTAATAGTGGATATACTTCTTAAATTGTATAGTTTATAATTTACTAGCATAGAATTGGCATATAGGCACATAATTGATTATATACAATCAGGTTCGTGGTTTCTGTCCCATAGAAGCTTCTTTTTTCTTTTATAATAGTTTACTGAGATATAATTTGCATACCATATAATTCAGCCTTTTAAAGCATACAATTAAGTAGTTTATATTATTTTCACAGTGTTATTCAATCATCACTATTATCTAATTTTAGAACAATTTTATCACCACTTCAAAAAGAAACCCTGTACCTATTAGCAGTCATGCTCCATTCTCCTGTCGCCTCTGTTCTTGGCAACCACTCTTCTGCTTTCTGTCTATGTGGATTTGCCTATTGTGGACATTTTATGTAAATGAAATCATACAGTACGTAGCCTTTTTTGTCTGGCTTTTTTCACTTAGAATAATGTTTTCAAGGCCATCGATGTTGTAGCATGTATTGGTACTTCATTCCTTTTTATAGCTGCATGATATTCCATTGTTTGGATTTACTACATTTTGTTTATCCATTCATTTGTTGATAGGCATTTGGGTTTTTCCTACCTTTTGGCCGTTGTAAATAATGCTGCTAAGAGTATATGTATGAAAGTTTTTGTGTGGACCTATGTTTTCAATTCTCTTTGGTGGAATTGCTGGATCGTATGGTAGATAGTTTCTTGTTTAACGTTGATCTAAAATCCATCTTATGACTCGTAGATGACAGTTTTTTAGAAAAAGAACAACACCATCATTTTTCTATACTTCTACTTCCTGCCTTATCATTTTTCTGAAATATTTAAGAGAACTGACTTTGTTTTGATTTGATCATTTTTATCTCTGTTCTTCAACCATTTTATTTGACCTATTTTTAAAAACAAAATGTGATATATATACTAAAATTTTTCATATTTGTGGGATCAGTCAGCAGATTTTGGCAGGCAGTAAAATTGTTCAGGTTAGATTTTTGTTCTGTTTTGTTTTTTTCTGTTTTTAAACAGTTGTGCTTATTGAGGCTACAATGTAGTTCATAGAAACAGTACTGTATTCTAAGAAAATAGTGCCTCATTGCCTGTCAGTCAGTCATTTATTCAGTATAAATGCAGTGCTTCTCAATCCTGGTTATCTGTTAAAGACTCTTTTGGTGCATTAAAAAAATAAAAGAAAGAAAAGAAAAGAAAAAAAACATGCCGGTTTAATCAGAATCTCCAAAGGTGAGTCTTAGGAATGTTTTGGGAAAGCTTCATAATTAACTTAATGGATAGTTAATGATGTGCCCAACTGTGGAAACAGACATGATAGCTTAGGGAGCTTACAGTCTGGCAGGCTAGCGGGAAAAAAGACAAGTAAACGCCCTATTATAAAATGTTATAAAGACTATAGTAGATGCATAAATATAGGGTACAGTGGAAACATAGAAAAGAACGTCTAATCCAGACTGTTGGGAGTTGGTGAAATTTGTGCTATGTCTTAAGGACAAATAGAAGTAAACCAAGCCAAATGGAGTTTAGATGAAAATCATTCTGGGTAAAGGGAGCAGTGTATAAATATACTCCATTAAAGAATATGCTTCTTTTAAGAAGATTAAAAAGAGTTTGATGTAATGTGATTGGAACAAAATGATATTTATGAAGAAGTGGTTATATTTGAGGCTGGTAGAGCTAGGCAAGATCTCTTTTATAAAGAGAACTTGTGTGTTGAGCTAAAGAATTTGGCTTTTATCATAACCGCTTTAGGGAGCCTCAGGTTTGAACTTAGGCTTTGGAGTGGGCTATATGAGGGGAGAAGAAAAGTAAACATATAAATAATACATAATGAAACAAAGGACCCCCCAAAATGTTTTTATTTAAAAAATTAAAAATAAGAATGTCTGTTCCATTCCAGGTTTCTGATTTGTGTTTATTTCCATAAATAAAACCTTTTTGGCAGATTTGAACAATTGGAGTAGATTGAGAGGTGAAAAGGAAATAGGTTAGTAAGAAGGGATAGAATTGGAATGGGACATAGGAGGAAACAGGAAGATGAAAGGGAGCTAGAAAAGGAAAAGGGGCCAAAAGGCTATAGAGGTGGCAGGGAGGAGAGGAAACAGATACTTGCTATTCCATCTAGAGACATTCAATGGAAAGAAAGCCTAATGCCAGAATTTATGTTATGCCTTGTGACCTTAAAAATAAAGTCCTGTTTCTACTTGTTGGTTTAACAACGGCATTGGATCTATTGTCTGTCTTTTTGTTTGTTTCTTTTTAAGGGGATAAACAAATCATCCCCTTTTACGTTCTTAACATCTTCAGATTTCACCAAACAATAAAGGTATACGTGGTTTTTGTTTTGGTATATTGTTTATATTATTTAGTGATACTATATCAAATTAAGAATATCCATTTTCATACTTTTTAGTATTCAAAAGAATACGAATTTTTTTGTAACTTTTTAATGCAGCAAATAATAGCTTTATTTAATAATGTATATTATTACTTATAATGCTTATTGTATTAAATTTGATTGAATTTAATAAGTTTCTACTTCCCTTATTTCTGTCTATCTCCCAACTTTAGGAAAAAAATAATATCATTGAGTAAACTTACCTTCTGTTGACAGATATTATTAAAAAATCTTTACTAATTCTTTTAAAAGGTTGAAATATTTGCTGTGTTGTTTTATAGTATTCAGATATTTATGAATTTTTTTTCAGCTTTGTTTTTGAGACCATGTTTTGAAAGCATCTAAAAGCACATTGTTTTTATAATACTGGAAAGGTGACTCCTTTTTTGTATTATAATTTTTAAGCATCGTGATCACTTTCAAGAGTCAGCTTACTAATTACTTTAAAATAAAAGTTAATGCTTAAATAATCCTGATTTTCGTTCTGGTTAGTATGAAGTCTGTTCTGTTAGGTAACTATTAAACTTTTTTAATAAATAAAACCTTTTAAGGTCAAAGTTTAAAGTTAAATTATCTTGAACAGTAACAAACTATTTATATAAAGTAAATACATATATATAGAAGATAAATACACATCGTATTTTCAGAGGGGCCTTATTTGGCCATCTTATGCCTTTAGTACATAAAAGGAAAAAATGAGATAGGAAAAAAAAGTTTTGATAACCATCAGTGAAGTGGAATTTCCACATAGTATTTGAAAATGGGAGGAAAAGTTATAGACTTTCCATTCATTTTGTTAATATAATATAATTTTGCACCTTTTATTTTCTAATAAAAATGCCATAGTTCTGAACGCCCTTTAAAAACAAATATCTAGTTTCAATGTTGCCCCAAAAAGTTATAAATTAGTTCAGTTAATTTTTCATGTAAAAAGGGCATATAATTGCCAGTGTATGACTAATAACTGTTTCCATTCTGTTCATACATTAGCCCTGTGGATTCAAGCAGTGTATATATGCATTCACAATTTCTTTAAACTCTCAGATATTGCTGAAAATGTCATTTACCACTTAAATAATTAATAAGGATAAGGTACTTATTAGTGTCAATAAGTGATGCTAAATCATGCTGCAGTAACAAACAAAACAACAAAAAATTTCAGTGGCTTAAAATGACAAAGATTCACTTCTCCCTCACTTTATGATAATATTGTGTGCAGTTTGGAAGCAGGTCCATTCTCTTCACTATGGGATCCAGGCTGAAGGAGCTGCTCTTATCTAGGATATTGCCATTTTTATAATGGAGGAAAAAGGAGAAAGTGGAACCATGTGAAACTCTTAAAACTTTTGCTTGGAACCGGCACATTACAGCAGTTCAGATTTCATTATCCAGACAAGTCACGTGGCTAATCCTGATGCGCGTGGAGCAAGAATTTCAGCCTTTCCACAAGGACAGGCCTAGGGACAGAAGGGCAGTGGGTATTTTGATAATAACAATGTCCCGCATCACGTTACATTCTTGTAAAGATAAAATTAACTATTAAATATGTAAGTATCTAAGGAGAAAAAACTTAAGCTTTTCCTAAAAGTTAGTGGGATATCTCACTAATTTAGAAGTTAATGAGTTATGTAAGCCATATTTAAGTTTACCTTTGCAATATATATGTTGTAAGGGTTTATTAAAACAACCAATAGTGTAATTTATGTCAAAGTGCTTGACCTTAAGGGGAGCAGTTCTTTGAGTACTTTAAAAGGTATTTATTTACATATACTAATATCCTAGAAAGCATTCTGGTGAAAAACTGGCCCTTAGGTATCAATAAGAAAGAATGTTTCTGGAGTCAGATATGTTGGGGAAACTGTATACTGTATCTCCTTATTGAATATTTAGTGTACATCAAAATATGAATGCTTGGAGAAATCCTTTTGTTCATTTAATTTGCTTAACCTAGTATTTCCCTGATTTAGTTTACTTTGGAACCTACTTTGCTAAGCAATACCTATAAATTTTCTTAAAATCCTGGCGTGAAGAAGTTGGTAGGGTGATTACAGTTCATTCATTAGATCTGGCTCCTCAGTGCTTGTCAACCTCTTTTTCAATTTTGTTAGTAGTTTGTTAGTCTTTGTAACTGAAAATCAAGTCATTTTATTTTTTAATCTCAGGGTATCCCAGTTCAGGGAGATTCCCTGGTAGAAAGACTTATTCTGAAATGGATGCAGTTGTGTTCAGGTGTTCTTTTGGTATGGGTCCTCTGAGTCTTGGATCTAGATCCTCAAAGCCCCATACCACCCAGAAGCACTCGTTGTCTCTATGTAATGGCATAGCTAGCTGAAATTTTTAAGGTTAGGATTGTGGAACAAGCATATTTTTTAACTGAAGTTTTAAAAAATATTATTAAGACAAAACATGACCAAGTTCATATTTTAAAACTTTTTTTATTCATGTAATGAGAAAACAAAGATGACATAATTAAAACCTCATCTTAGACATTAATCTATTCCTATAAAATTTTACAAAAGTAATTAAAAATTAATGTGGACTTTTCCATTTTTTCTGTTCTCTGTTAGGATAAAAGTTAAGTTATAGATTAAAGGTAGTCAAAATTCAGAGGTCAGCAAAGAAAACTTACAGAACTGGATAACTGAGAGCTGTTTTTAGATAAGTAATAAATATTAGTGGTTCTTTTCATGGAATGCTTATGTATACCCACAGCTCAGCCAGCAGGAGTGCCAGAAATCTTGAAGAAAAGCTTGCATAGCTGTTCAGTGAAAGGAGAGGAAGAAGTATTTTTAATTGGCAAGAACTTTCTGAAAGGAACTAAAGTGATTTTCCACGAAAATGTTTCTGGTAAGTAGGCATAATACTGAATTAGAGATTGTCGCATGTTTCACTTTGTTATAAAGATATAGTCATAACTACAAGTAAAAAATTTTAAAACTTTTAAATTTTAAATTTTAATTTTAAATCGGTGTTTTTATTTCAATCAGATGAAAATTCTTGGAAGTCAGAAGCTGAAATCGACATGGAATTATTTCATCAGGTATAATTTAAGCCCTTTAATAGTTTGATTGTTTACTCTCCGAGAAATAGTTTTGTTCTGAAATTTTCCTAAATCAGCATTAAATTTCTTCTTTATATGAGATTGATGTAAATTATTTAAAGTTTATTTCTCAAGTTTCTTTAAGTGAAATAGAATTATTCCACTGATACTAGAAGTGACAGTTCTCTTTTAAAAAGTTTAAGAGTCTACGACCATGCCACCCTGAACGTGCCTGATCTCGTCTGATCTCGGAAGCTAAGCAGTGTTGGGCCTGGTTAGTACTTGGATGGGAGACCACCTAGGAATAACAAGTGCTGTAGGAATTAAAAAATAAATAAATAAAAATAAAAAGTTTAAGAGCATTAGCAAATTACCATTGTTAATAAATAAAACATTTCTTTCCTAATATTTATTTGCTCTAGAGATTTGGATTATCTTTACCTACTATTTAGTTAAATCAAAGGGAAACTTATTTATTGAGTACCTGCTATGTGCCAGATGTTTTATATTTATTAACCTTTTACATTCAGAAGTGCAATTTATTACACTTATATTAAAAGGTGTGTATTCGTAAGACCTTACATGTGTTGTTTTTCAGATAACAAAGAAAAAGAGCTTGAAAACAAGAATAAAGAACTGACTTAAGAATTAATATGTAAAGCAAATAGGACCAAACTCATAGATGTTTGAATAAAGAACTGACTTAAGAATTAATATGTAAAGCAAATAGGACCATACTCATAAACTAGCAGAAGAGAAGGACAAACTTATGAGCAAATCAGATAGAAGACATATGCAGAAGAGTACTATGTATAGGAGTAGATGATAGAGAACAAAGAAGCAGGAACAAACTAATGTGTAAAATACCCAAGGCCTAAAATTTAGCGTAAAATGCTGATAAGAGTAGAAGAGAGCACATGAAAGCAAGCAGAGTTGGAGGAGGCAACAATTTGGAGCATCTGTAAGCCAGTTTTAAAAAGTTCCTAATTCCTTTGTGGTTTTTTAAATTTATTTTTTACTCTCTCATGTTTTAAGAAAAATCTAATAAAATTTTAAAACACTATATATCCATTATATTATATACAATATATTGCTAGACTCAAAGCTAAGGGCACAGTGCTTCCTAAGATGCCCCTCACTTCAAGCACAGCCACAACTTCAGGGGTCTCTTGGCCACTCTAACTTTTGAACAGTTGGCTTCAAATTCAAGGGTTCCCTCTCCCCGCTCAGATTTGCTAGAACAGTTCACAGAATTCAGTAAAGCACTACATTTAACTATTTTAGTTTTATTAGAGCAAAAGGACACAAATCAGAACCAGCCAAAGAGACAGATGCCTAGAGCAAGGTCTGGGAGGGTCCTAAAGGCAAGACTT